AATCCAATCTGAATTTGGATGCGCCGTGGTGGAGAGTGAGAAATCACTACACCAAAATACCAAGGAATCAAAAGAAGAAACATTTGACGGTCCAGAAAAGCACAAGTCACGATCAATATCCATGTTTGCAGGTGAACCTTCTAAGGAGAAGCTTGGATGGCCTCTACTCTGCAGAACGAGTTCAGAAATCTCACAAAGCTGTCATGTAAGGGATATATCAGTAGTACAATGGGTAATGACTCTACCAGACCGTTCTTCGGAAAGTAGTCCTCAATCATCTTCCAGCATTGAAAATCCATTCGAAAGGAGCACCAGCGACATTCTTGAGGACGAGAGCATCAAAAGTTATTTATCTCCATCTGTTGTACTACCAAAAGGCCTAGAGGAGATATTAAATGTAAATTCACTCGATTGCAAGTGGTTCACCCTCGAGGCTCTGAAGTCTTGCACTAACCAATTCTTTTCAGGTTAGAACACGGCTTCTTATTATGATCTTTATACAAACTAGCATATCCGACTCGAGCTCAACACGGGCACGAAAAAACCAGCTGATAAGAAAACTGTGTTAATATTATAATATGATGATATAATCTTGTATTCCCTTGCAGAAAATTTGATTGGGAAAGGCGGGAGCAACCGTGTGTACAAAGGAATTCTCTCTGATGGAAAGCCAATTGCGGTTAGAGTATTGCGGTCATCAAAAGAAGCCTGGAAAGATTTTTCCTTTGAGATGGAAATAATATCCCCATTGAAGCATAAAAACATTGCTCAACTACTTGGAATTTGCGTAGAGGACAATAATACGTTAATATCCGTTTATGATTATTTCCCCAAAGGCAGTTTAGAAGAAAATCTACATGGTAAAGTTTAAGTTGATTTTCTGTTTTCACGTTTCCACCATCATATAAATTGCTGTAAATGGAAAAGGATGCTTATATGTAGTTATAAGTGGTTGTAGGAAAGAACAAAGACGGATCTATTTTGTCATGGGAAGTGAGATTCAACGTAGCTGTTGGAATAGCTGAGGCCCTTGATTACCTACACGCAGAAGCCTTGAAGCCTGTTATACATAGAGATGTCAAGTCTTCAAACATTCTTCTTTCCCAAGACTTAGAACCACAAGTAATCAAAAAGTTTTTGACATCATTAGAGAATTGAAATGAGTATTTTCTAAAGATGAATTATTTTTGCACAACCAAATTTAGTGACAATTTTTTAAGTGGTTTATGCAGTTCAAATAGTGGTTAATTATGTCCAATAGATAGTTAATGGATATATTACATGTGAAAACTCATTAACCACCAACATAACTTCGTTAACAAAATACTTGGACATTTAGGTGTTCAACTACATGTAGATTTGAACACATGCAAATTTTGCATAATCGCATCCAAATTTGTGGTTAATGAGTTTTAACATCTGATATATCCATTAAGTATCTAATTGAACGTGATTAACCACTTAAAAAGTTGTTGCAAAAAGTGACTAAATTTGGTTGATACAACTTCCAGTCAATCAAAGTTAAACATTATGTATGAAATTGATCGTGTCACTAATGAATCGTGATCATCATTTTGTTGCAGTTGTCTGATTTTGGACTTGCAATATGGGGACCAACAAAAACACCCTTTTTGACACAAGAAGATGTAGTAGGAACATTTGGTTACCTTGCTCCTGAATACTTCATGTATGGAAAAGTCAGTGACAAGATAGATGTCTATGCTTTTGGCGTAGTACTACTTGAACTAATATCAGGTAGGGAACCAATCAGTTCTGAACCTTGCAAAGGACAGGAGAGCTTGGTAGTCTGGGTAAGACCTAACTCCTTTAGAATAATTTTTTGCGTAAAAATATCAATGTTTTATAAACCGAATGAAATATCAAACTGGCAGCCCCTTAAAATCATGGTTTCATTTTCAGGCAAAACCATTAATAGAGAGAGGGGATATTAAAGGTTTGTTGGACCCAAAATTAGAAGGGAAGTGTGATGAGACACAGTTGCAAAGAATGGTTTTAGCAGCATCTTTATGCATCACACAAGCTGCTAGACTTCGTCCTAAATTTAATCAGGTAACAAATAATAGAGTTTAATTGATATACACTGACAAATGACACGGTAAGTTGTTAAATTCTCAAAATGAAGTCACATTACCGATTATTACATCTTAAAAACTTTCAACTCCTAAGAATTATGATTCCTATGTACAGATACTGAAGATCCTAAAAGGGGATGATGAAGTTGAATATTGCTTCAATGAGCATTCAGAAAATGAAGAAAACATTGACGATGAGGTGTATCCAAATTCAAGTGCAGAGTTACACCTAACACTTGCATTACTTGGTGTTGATGAAGAAAATACATCATCATGTAGTAGTACAGACCACAGCTATAATGAGAATTTGAAAGACCAATGGAGCAGATCTTCAAGTTTTAATTAGTTTTTTCTTTCAATTTTGACAGCTATTTATCATTAGTTTGTGCATGTACAGTTACATTAATAAAAAGGAAATAAAAAGTGTCACACCCATTGATGAGGGGTTTTGTAGTTTTATGCATTTATCATCATTTGCAAGTGGGCTACTACACCAAAATGAGAAAAGTTAATGAAGATTCTGCAATATATGCAGAAAATGAGTACCATGACACAAGCAGGTTATTCACCTTTTTGAATAAAGTAGTATCAGCAATCAATTTGTTGAGATCACTGAATAACTCATCACTTTATTCTCCACCTTCATTTCCAACACCATACCACAGCCTTCCATTATCCTATATAAAAAAAACAAATAGATGTATCATCCAATAAAAACCTCCCTTTCCATTTTCCTAGTTGACATTAATATAAAAAAGCCCAGGCTGTTTAATTTTTTTGTTTATATAATTGTCAGGAATAAATTGATAACAAAGATTATACATAAATAAATAAAACGCAAATAGGCAACACTTGCGGTGGCAAAATTAATTCTCATAGAAACTAGACAACATTGATATGCATGATTCTTTGGACTCTCCGTAAAAGATTAACTATCTTTAGTGATAGAAAATCAAAAATATTAAAGACAAATGATGTGAAAGTAATTTTGATTTCGTAACACACGACCCACAGTAAAACCTCTCGTCCTTAGTTCCATCCGTAGAAAAATTTCAGTTAAGTCCACGTACAATAGAATATTAGTTTAGTTAAGTGTCGATCTCCTTTCATGTAAATTAGTTAATAAATTCACATGTACCTCTTTTTTCGAATACTCTAATCCATCGAAATATTTCTTTGAGAACATCCTTAACAAAATCATATTTGTAATTAAAAATTAAAAACTCCTTCCAATTGTTCTCCAACTTTATTCATGCTCGTATTGCAGTAAATATTGTATAGTAAAATAAGAGAATCATAAAGTGATATCTAAATTTAAGACACTCACTCAATGACATGTGTATTGCAGTAAATATTGTATAGTAAAATAAGAGAATCATAAAGTGATATCTAAATTTAAGACACTCACTCAATGACATGTGTATTGCAGTAAATATTGTATAGTAAAATAAGAGAATCATAAAGTAATATCTAAATTTAAGACACTCACTCAATGACATGTGTATTGCAGTAAATATTGTATAGTAAAATAAGAGAATCATAAAGTGATATCTAAATTTAAGACACTCACTCAATAACATGTGTATTGCAGTAAATATTGTATAGTAAAATAAGAGAATCATAAAGTAATATCTAAATTTAAGACAGTCACTCAATGACATGTGTTTGTCAATCCATCAATAAGAAATAGCAACAAAAAAAATAACAAACATATTTTTGAAAATAACAGTTAAAAAAATATGATTGAGCTTAACTCAACTTTACAAATTAACATCTACAAACCAGTTCGTAGAATAAAAATTGTCTTATTTATAAAAACATATTTAAATCATAAATTGTTGCGATGTGAGACTTTTATAAAAAACTAAAAACTACTTTTATTAAACAACAGACGTTAATCAAAACAAAACATATAATATTTTAAGAGTGACAAAGTCCTAGTTAATAAAATTGTTAATGTCAAAATTCAGAATCACACCAATAAAAACATCTAAAACTAATTTGAAATTAGAGTTCACACCAATAAAAACACCAAAACTTATAATTAAACAACTCAACCTTTTTTTAATAGAAGCAACTCAAGCTTTTTAATACCTGTCTTCAACTTTTTCTAAATAAACATCCCATCTAACAAGGTATTTTATTCCACTCGCCACACCAGATCGAAGAATTCGAACAAAATAGATTCTTTCCATTGTAGACCCGTCAATTGTATAGTTAAAAAATACACCAGCACCATTGTTTTTTATTATATTAAAAAACAAAGAAAAAAGTTAAACAGTGAAGTTCTACGAATTTCAGAATTATTGGCCCTCAAAAAGATTCCTTCTGTTTTCAGTGTTTAGTGTTGATATAATAATCTTAGAGGGACGACTTAATTCATAACTATTTTATTTTTGTAACAGTTGTTTTATCAATTTTAAACCGTTTCCAAATCATTTTTTTTAATTAATCTGGCAAAATTCAAAAATTAGGTTTATTTTATTCGTAACATAAGCTTAGTCTTTCGGCGTGTAACGTGACTCTGGTGCCACGAGAGTGGGACCCACGGGAATGATGATATACGTATAAATTGGAAAAACGGTTGAGAGAGAGATAGCAAACAAAAAAAATTGTGGAATCTCTCAATTATCGCTTGGACCTGGTACGTTCATTTTTTCCGCCTTTATCAGTGTTACTCTCTTCTTTTTAGGGTTTCACCTTTCATTTTCAATTGTTTCGTTTTCAATTTTTCATCAATTGTGTTCTACTTTTCAATTTTATCAATCGTAGCAACGCATTTCAATATCATCGATTCTGTTTAATGTTGTACTTGTTCTAATTCGTGTTCATCGATTTGGAATTTTCATTTACGTGATTGTGTTTTTTGATCAGGTTTAGCGGTTAATTTTAGGGTTTACTTTGAAAATGGAGGACGGTGAACTTGATTTCTCGAATCATGACGTTTTTCCGAATCCAAACATGCCTGAATTTCCGAGTAGTGGTTCAATGGACAGTTTCTTTGATGAACTGTTGAAAGATACACACGCTTGTACTCATACCCACACGTGTAATCCACCTGGTCCTGATTCTTCGCATACTCATACTTGTTATCACGTTCATACCAAAATTGTGCCTGCATCTGAAGAAGATCAGGTTGGGACTGATGATACGGCTGAGTCTGCTGAGAAGAAGTCGAAGAAACGTCCGGTGGGGAATAAAGAAGCTGTTCGGAAGTATCGTGAGAAGAAAAAGGCTAGGGCTGCGTCGTTGGAAGATGAGGTTACGAAATTGAGGGCTTTGAATCAGCACTTGATGAGGAAGTTGCAGGGACAGGCTGCTCTAGAGGCTGAAGTGGCGAGATTGAAGTGTTTGTTGGTTGATATAAGGGGAAGGATTGAAGGGGAAATTGGATCTTTTCCGTATCAAAAACCAACCAATCCCAACCCCTCAATTACGAACTTGCCTGGTTCTTATGTCATGAACCCTTGTAATGTGCAGTGTGATGATCGGGTATATTGCCAAGGTCCTGGAGCAGATGGGAGGTTTACTGCAGAAGGGGTGTCCCCAAATGAGGAGGGATTTGATGGTTGTGAATTTGAAAGTCTCCAGTGTCTCGGAGGCCAGAATTTGGGGATCAAAGATCTTCATGGTTGTGGAGTTGGACCGACAATGTCTAATGTTAATTCTCAATCTTCCAATAAAAGAAAAGGTGATGCCTGATTATGCATACTCTCTAAAAGAAAGTGTTAAATACTTGAATTTTTTTCAAACTTAGTTTATATTTACGATTTACTTCTCTTGATTGCTGCTCCATGTTGTGATTTGTCTAGCATATCTTGTCATTATTTGGGTTTGGGTGATAATTGTTTAGTTATTTAATTTTTGTTTTGTCAGCGTGCCATATAAAAAGCACAGAGAATCTTAGGATGATGCTGTCAATGACACTTCTTTGTTTTTGCATTATGTTTAATTACTATAATTGATCCATGTAGCTGTCTCTTCCGTATGAGAAAGATATGCTTTTGTTGTTGTATGTGTAATTGCTAAAAATACTATAATTTTCCTTATCTCGGGTGAAAATAGATCCTCTGCACTATCTATATCCGTAGAATGCTCTCAAATTGGTCCCAGAGTGTATAAATATTTCAAAAAGTCCTTGACTCTATTAAAGTGTCAAGTTGGTCCTTGTATTTAACCACTTACTATCAATTAAGTTCTTATGTTGTAACTACTTACTATCAATTCGGTCCTTGTATTTAGCCACTAACTATCAATTTAGTCCATAACATCAATATCAAAGGATTAATATGATGACTACAATTTGGCAGAATCAGAGACCTTTGTGAAATATTTATATACTCAGGGCCTATTTGAGAGTGTCCTACAAAGTTAGGGACTAGCTTGACGGTTTACTTGAGAAAATAAGTTTTGAAGCAAGAGAATGAGAATTTATGAGATGTAGAGAGTGTAGAGGATCCAAATCTGTCTCTGGTGCTTAAGTCTGATTGCCAAGTTTTATACAAGATGATTGTGCACTCTGATAATGCGCGATTTTTTTAAAAGGTAGTACTACTAGTATTACAGAGTTCTTGTTACTTTTTAAGAAACTAGATGCTCTATATATGAATAAGTTAACAAATGCTGCCAAATCCTCCAGGAGATTTATGCATGAAATTTAAAAAGGTTTGAAATAGATAACAATTGTAGTGATAATTTTTTCCCACGGTACCAAAAAGTTTGAGACTTTTGCTTATGAAAAATTTATAATACAGTTTTTTTGTCCCCATTTCCAAAGCAATTGGGATCGACTCTTCTGTTATGACTTTAGAGCATGGAAGTTGCATATTCTTGCTTCTCATCTCTTAAAATTATCTAAAAAAATTTATTTAACAGGGGGATCTCGCGCAGCAAAAGCTGGATGAAGAATACATAAGTTGGTGGTTTTCAACCTTTTGTTGTTGCCATGGTAATATATCCTGCCAAGAACTTGTTATCAGCTGCAGCATCAGTTATCTGTCGAGTAACTGCTGAAGATCATTGTCTCTTTTTGACCCTGCTGTGCGCTGTCTTGGTTTTGATGGCTATTCTACCATGGAATATAAGTAGTTGATACATGTTTATTATGCAAAAACAGTAATTGACCTGTAGTCAGCATATCTTTTTTGCTGAGACACAGATTAATGCTTTTCTATGCAATAAGTTTCCCGGTGTTTTGGTTGTGCTGGTTGTGCGTGAACTAGTAAAACTGGCATGGTAAATGTTCTTATGCTAACTCAATTTCAAATGTGTTAATCATTTGATTATTTTTTTTGCTTTGTTTAATGAGAGGATGATGTTTAAGTGGTGATTCAAGTTTTCTATATTGGAAATTCTACATTTCTGTATTACAGAACTAGGGGAAGATGGGGTGTGTTTTCATCTCTCGGTATTTGTGCTTGTGGACAGGTGAGGCACCAATGTCATTTTGTGTAACATATATTCGTGAGTGGAAACAATAAAATTGTCCTATGTGGTTGCCGGCATGGCATTTCATTTATTTTTCACATATGCTTTTCTGAGAAGTATAGATTTGCTTTTCTGTCTTTAGCTTGTTGGTCGACAAAGATTGACTAGTTTATTTCCAGATCTGTTGTTCTCTAATTGAAGATTGTCCATAAGGGCTTTTGCCTTCATCTAGTTAAGACAAACAAGTGACTTGTTTTGTGTTTGAGAACACAGGTAATTGTTTCGGCTGAAATTGGAACCTTGCCATCATTAAAGTGAGGTATGAAGATGGGAAGCATATATGCCTTTATAATTGCATCCGCTTGTGTTCAAAGTTGTTAGAACTTAATTTTTCCTCTGTTGTCAATCAATGTTAATCGGTATTTAAATTTTACAATTTTTTCGATTGTCTCTATAAGATGGGAGATTATGGACTTCGTATTTTAGATCAGCAAAAGTGGTGTACTCGTTGAGTTGAAACTTTTGTTCGGGTGTCGCGCTAGAGAATGGGATATTTGCGATATACTGGATGATGTTTATTTGTGATATTTAAGACATTTTTTGTTTGCGTAAAATAAAAAATTAGAGCACCTAAATTTATAGAAATTATAGACAAATGTGGACCACAAAAATTCTATTAAGCATCAGTGTTGCTTTCGGAGATACTTTTCCGATATCATCCTATTGTCTTATTCTGGAGATATATCTTCAGAATCTCTCCTGAATCAGGCAGAAAACAAAACCTAATTGATTAATGACTTTGTTTGGCAAAGGAGCAATTTTTTTTTGCAAAGATGAAAATTTTATTAAAATATTAAAAAAATTGAATATATTACACTTCATTAGTACTGAGACAATTACATACACTCATTTGTTTGGCTAAATAGAAAATTAAAATGAATTGAAATATTTGTCGTCGATTAAATTTATGGGTGGTTTCCTTTTAACTTTTGTGCATTTGATTCTCTTTCAATTTTGTTCAATTTCTCGAACTCTTGCGTCCTTTTCACAAAATAGTTTGGCCAAGTTCTGACTTTTGTTGTTGAATGAGTTGCTCACTCCAGTGATGTAAGTGGTATAAGACATTCTGATTTCAAGTAAACTTGAATAAAATGTCGTGATTTTGAAGGTCACCCAATACACATAATTTGATCTTTTGAATTTTGAGGTGGGACGGTGCTAAATGTGAAAAAGGTTTCCAAAAAATCGTATCATGTAAGATTAATACAAATTCTATCGTACGCACATGTTATGAGGTGATCTATTTCAGGGAAGCGCATCAATTTAGCCTTCAGTGCTTATCAAATAAGGCAAGGAACAAGAGACTCAAAAATTGCATCAAAGTTTTCTTTCTTTCCGTAAAGTTGTATGTATGATTCTTTATGAGTCCTCAACACATGGATAAGCTGGTGGCGGACAAGTGTGTGATTATATTCTCTTTTATCGAGTAAATTCGAAACAGTTCGATAAGTGCAATTAGCATCATCCTCAACATTGATGATCTGCTCGATTTATTTGTTTATAAAAACCGGCATCTCGCCAATGAATGGAATATTTGGTGGAAGCGGCGAAGGAGGTGGTTTGTTAATGCGAGCTCCTTTGAAATTTTTTTTTTAAAGATTTTGGAGTAAGTGAGTCTGGAAAAACTCTTTCAACATGTTCAAAATACCAAGGAGACCGCACTTGAATTGTCACTCGATGTAGGTTTGAGCTTCTTCGAAGCACCTTTTGTTTTTATCGGTTGAAAAGGTGGTTTCAAGTCGGTGATTTTCTGATACACAATCCTCCTCAATCGTTCTTTGGTGTGGAGTTTCATATTGTCATCAACTTTCAAAATTTTATCTTGTATCACTTCCTATTCAATCAAGATATAGATATTCGACTTACCGTCTTTCATGACACCATCATCATCACACCTAAGCCTCTTCTAGTGAGTGTTAACCTCATCTATTCTTATTAGGCTACCAAATTTTATCTTTTTGGCAATAACACAAGCATATGAGGGACCATATGTTTTCACAATTGTGCATTCACACTTTACACTATTGGAACCTACACTTTTAGCTCGTTTATCTTCGTTAAAAATATAATTCAAACCCGTTCAAGATATGTTGCTAACCAAATGAGAATAAAGATTGTTGTCTTTAAAGCTATGTTTCAAAAGGGTGATGCTCCGACCAAATGCTGTATATATATCTCATTATGTTGATTATAAATTATTTGATTCACGGAGTCCCAATATCTACACAAATCTCTCTTACTATTTCTCAACCAATTCTTCAATGTAGTACGAGCAGACTCAACTCGGTTTGTTGTTGTATTCCCAAGATGTTTAATATGATCGGTCCATGAACAAACAATTTTCTCCTTCACTTGGTCAAGAATTATGCTTTCAACATATTTCAACAAATTGGGATATTTCCCGCACACCTTCCTGAAATGTATAATGGAATCGAGATATAATTCTTTAGTGGAAGAATTTACTATACAATTCCATGCATCCATTATTTTTTCCCACTATCACACTCGCATTTACCATTTTTAGACCTTCAAACTTTATTTGTTTCATCCCTACTGTGGGTTTAACCCGACTTCTCACATTCTTTGTTATGTGATACCTAGAAAGCAGTGCATAAGAAGTAGGAAATATCTTTGCAACTGAATTCATCAACGCCGTATCGAGGTCGGTAACAATCACTTTAGGTATCTCTTTTTTATCCTTCAACATTGTCCGACACACCTCTAAAGTCCAAGTAATATTATCCTTTTTTCTCTCTAGAAATGAAAACCCCCACATAATAAGTTTCTCCGTAGAGGTAACATCAACCATCTCCAATAATGGAAGGTTGTAATTGTTGTTCTTGTATGTTGAATCAATTATAAGCACAGTAGAAAATGTGTTGAACAACTTGATGGAATCAGGATGAGTCTAAAATATATCTCTAACAGTAACTCCATCCTCGCACGTTCTGTACTTAGACAGATAAATGTTATAATCCAACAGTTTCAAAAGTTGTTGCATTTCAGTTCTATCCCCTATAAGCCTCTTATTAGTTTAGTGTCGAGTATTGTACACTTGTTTGATATTTGATATATTTTCGGGTCTTTTACGTTTCAAAGTTTCAAGTATATTTTTTGGTTGAACCAAATTCAGTGTCACGCATTCCTTCTCTTCTGGCATGAGGCGACACGTAATTAGATGGCCGACTAACTTTTCAAACAACATATGGTTATGCGAACCACATATAACATTAAATCTGCATTTATTGTTTGTCAACATATAACCATGAAATTTAAAGGGACACTCACATTTTCTTGAACTGTTGTCATTTCGTTTAAAATTTCGAATAGGAGGTCTACATTTCCCGCTTCTTTCGCACATCATCGTCACAAAAGCACATCTTTTATCCAAACCATTATCAGATCTTTCAATTACCACATCAAATTTCAATTTGGAGGCTTCCGTAAGAATCCATTGAAGCATGTAATCACGAAATTCAAACTCTTGCTCATTTTTAAATTTGTTGCCAAACATCTACCGTCTTCACAACACCTTTGATATTTTGAAACACAACATGTTGGGAAAAAATATCAGGGTGCATCATATCAAATGAAAACAATTACCACATAATAGTAAATAAGTGATAATTTTGTAACCATAGCTGAAAAATGAACACAAACAGATACCAGAAATGCATTTTCGGATGAATTCATGCTTGTTCTGAAAATGTATCTTCGGAATAAACACGTGATTTTCAGACAAAAAACAAGATCAATGTGAGCAATGAAGCTTGGAATAAATGATCTTTACTTGGAATTCTAACTTCTTTTTCTCCTTTTAATGTGATGAAACATAAGATTGAAGATTTGGAGTGAAAATGTGGATTGAGAATGGAAGGGTTTTTGGATAGGGTATTAAGTCGAAAACAAGTATGATCGTGTGATCATGCAGGTCGGTGTTTTATCAACTTATTTTAGAGATGCATCTCTAGAAATATCTGACATGCAAAGGTCATAGAAAAATTTCAAAGTGACGCCCCAAACTTTCGAAGATGCATATCCGGAATGTCCACTGGGTTGATCAACTATCAGTATATTCGTTGAAAATACTCATAGATGTATCTCTTGAATGTTTTTTAGTATTCATCTAGGGTGATAATCATTTGGTGCGCCGTAACATTGGTGCATGGTGCATCCGAATATGCATCTCCAAAATCTGAGGGGCAATTTCAGTTTTCCATTGGTGTTTTTCCACCTTATAAGGCACCATAAGAAATTTCCAAAAATATTGTGTGATTGTATCTTGGTTACTCTTTTCTTGTCCAAGTTATGGTGAAAAGTCACAATTTTTCCTATATTCCGAAGATGTATCTTTCGACGCACCTTTTATACGCACATTTTTGCATTTGTAAATGAATTATTCCTATTTTTTCTAGAA